GAGGCACATCTAACACTTCTCAAGCAAAAACATTGTAACTATGTGTGGTGATAGATGTCAACTAGACTTACTGTGGTGATCTTTTCACAATATACAAATACCAAATCATTATATTGTACATTTGAAACCAATACAATGTTATATGTCAATTATATCTCAATAAAAATAGAAAAAGAAAGAAAACAAATGCAGGGGAATTGATCCCGACACCAGAAATGTTGCACCAGCAGGACTCACACTCATAGCTTCACGGGGTGTCCCTGGAGGCCTTCGTGGGGCAAAGTATCCAGTCTACAGCTAGAGGGGAGCACCGGCCTACCTGTGGGTCCCACATCCTCTCACATTCACTCCAGCCTGAACCCACAGGCCAAATAGAACCACTTAATCATGGAAGGTCTTGGTGAAATGGACAGTGATGCAGTGGCTGGGCTGTGGGAGGAGCAGTGACTCCGGAGGGGCTGTGGCTGCGGTGAGGCTGGGGAAGTGAGCGGCTGTGCTGCCTGGGGTGACCCTCTGGCAAAGCTGCTGGGAAGGCCCAGGTGGAGAGCAGTGGGGGTGTTAGAGGGTTTGCCTGGGAATGTGGAGTGGAGTTGGGGATTCCGGTCTGTGGATCGTGAACCCCCGTGAACATTCCTCGTCCACAGGACGACCAGGGCTGGGGGCCCTCTTCCCAGGGAGGGCTGGGAACTGTGGGGTGAGGGCTGGGCATTAGCAGAATTTCCTGCTCCCTCCCCTACCTCCGTGACTTTGCCCATTCGCCCAGCATCACTCTTTAGCTCAAGTCCCCTGTTTCGTGTCCCTGGCCTTGCCTTGCCTGGTACACGGGGAGGGGAGTTGAACAGGGTGTGGCGGCACCAACCCTCGGGAAGGTTCTGAACCCCTGTGGGCGCCCTGTCCTGGACCCCGTTCTAGTGCCCCCCCACCGCCCACTCCATCCAGCAGGTTCCATTCTGGCTTCACTGCTGAGCTCCGCCCAGGGAGGGTCCTGTAGTAGAAGCTGGGCCAGGAGGAAAGACCAAATTTGCTGCCCACAGTCCATGCCATCCCGACCTGGAGCCGCATCCATAGGGTCCAAGGAGGGAATGAATCCCTGAGTGTCGTCCCTGACCCTGATCCTCCGGGTTGCCTCTCCCCCAGGCCCGGCATCTGCTCCTTGGGGCGAAGTGCCCCAGCATTTCAATCCCTTCTCCTCCGGACACTCAGCCCCCTTCCTCCACCCCATTCTCCTGACTACATACCTCTTTCCGTCTCCTTTCTCAACTTCACGACCATTTCTTCTTTTCTTAAAAGACTCAAGATTTTCGGTCTGAGAGCACTTCCTTCTTAATGAAACAGGTAGAAGACATTCTTAGCTGTCTTCATCAACATGTGTTTCTATTGGTTTCTATCCCAGTGGAGCTCAAGGCTTTTTGTTGACTAAAGTACTTCCTCTTTGTAATACTGATTCGGAATTTTAATTTCCAAGCTTGTTGTGCAAGCAGGTGTTGAAAGGCCTACAGTGCCACCTGGAGGCCTCTGGTAGGGGTCAGGGTACTTAAGGCTCTCAGTTCTGCAAATGGTTTTCCTCTTTGGCCTTTTCCTCCTCACACTGGTCTCATTCATTCAACCATTGACACAGCACCAACCAGCACTTAAGTAGCATGGGGGTCCTCTGGGGAGATTCATCCTAAACCAGAGTAAAACCATGGCCTCTTCAGCCTGAGAAGCGCTCCCGATTCTTGTTCAGAGGGTCCTGTGTATGGTTCATATCCGCACATTCAAAGGCAGCTCAAGCGACAGAGGAAGTGCCAGGGACTGCAGTGCATGGCCCATCTCTCTCATCCATAGAGGCCCTGGCCCCCAACCTCTGGGAGGGCAGTACCAGGCTACTTGCCATGATCTCCTCACTTAATCTTCTCAGTCCCTCAGGTAGTGTTTCCTGTATCACAAATGTGAAACGGGACATGGAAAGATGAAGGAACTAGCACAGGCACATCAGCCAGAAATTCATCCAGATGCCTGATTCCTGTGTGTGGACGTGTGGGGTATAGTCCCCATCCAGTAATATAGCGTCAGGAGCCGTTCCCACCAGCTCCTGGGGTCCGGTGTGAGTCCGTGGGCCAGGAACAAGCATTGGGCTGAACCAGGATGTGCAGGTGTCCAGAGAGGCCCGTCCTTCTCCCACCTGGCCTTCTTGCCAGGTCTTTCATGCCAGCCTCCCCCCTCCCTCCTGTTCTCCCAGTCACTTCCCTCCTTCACCCAGCCTTGTGGGATGAGCCTCCCAGGCCCTTCCTGGTGGCCTCCTCCCAGGGATTAAATCCAGGCTTCTGTCCCCCAGCCCTATGCTTGGAGTCTCTTGTTACACACAGATCACCTGGATCCACCAAGATCTAACCCCAACCAAGCCTGTGCCCTGCCCAACCCTACATGTCTCTTGTCTTCCAAAGCACACAGCACAGGCCCCTTTTGCATAATGGCTCTAGTGAGTCAGTCCAGAACCTTCTATGTCTTTTATATCTGTTAATTCACAGAGTTGGCTGCTATTCTATGTCCCTCAGTTTAAGTAGAGAGAGGCCTGGCATAGGCTTCCTCCACCTACCTTCAGCCTTGGGACAGTTGAACTTACTGTCACATGGAGCTCATTGTCTTCACTAGGTGACTGTACGGAGCAGGAGGCCTTAGTCTATGCTGCTTATTTAATGGGGAGGAGGCTCATGGATGGGGGCAGGGTGGACTCAGGACTTCCTAGTCCTTACACCAAGCTAAGACCTCCCCTCAGCTGGAGCCACGGGACACTCTCCCTCCTCCTTTCCACACTCTCTAAAAATCAATAGAAAAAAGATCCTCTGGTGAGGACTAACCAAAAAGAAGGAGGAGGAGGAGGAGGAGGAGGAGGAGGAGGGGAAGAAGAAGGAAACCTTACCTCTTAAGACAGCATGAATGGACCTGGAGAGCATTATCCTAAGTAAAATAAACCAGAGGAAGACAAGTACCATATATTTTCACTTATATGTAGAATCTGATGAACAAAATAAACTAACAAAGACAGACTCATGGATACAGAGGACAGACTGACAGCTGTCAGAGGGGATGTGTTGGGGTGCAGGGTGAAAAAGAAGGGATTAAGCAAAAAATAAACATAAACAAAATCTCATAGACAGAAAAAAACACCTTGTTATTCTCAGGGTTTGAGGTTTTGCTGTTGGTATTTGTCATGTTTGGCTCAGATAAACTAAAAAACTCTCTAAAAAAGGAATAATACAAAACTACAAAGGAATTAAGTTTTTTAGAATATAAGCATGTTTATTTAAATATACTGTTATAAGCTACTAATGGAAACAGTTGTAAATATAATTTTGTTATTTTATTTTATTTTATTATTTTTTTTTTTTTTTAAAAATATATTTTATTGATTTTTTACAGAGAAGAAGGGAGAGGGAGAGAGAATTAGAAACATCGGATGAGAGAGATCGACCAGCTGCCTCCTGCACGCCCCCTACTGGGGATGTGCCTGCAACCAAGGTACATGCCCTTGACCGGAATCGAACCCGGGACCCTTGAGTCCCCAGGCCGACGCTCTATCCACTGAGCCAAACCGGTTCGGCTAATTTTGTTATTTTAAAATATATACTTGTTTTTGTGGACAGAAAGAAGTCCTGTGGTTTGGCACTTTTTGAAAAGTCAGGATGCAGAGATGTATCTGATCTCCCACAAAAAAGATGGAAAATGTCCTCTTTGTTGAGATTTCTTATTGAAGCTATTAATGTCTAAATGTAGGAATTACATCTCTTAGCACCACAAAAAGTGACATGATATGTTTAAAAAGCCCTGAGAAGGATAATCAGCAAATGCAATAACAGACATGAGATGCTGCCTCTCCTGTCTCATCCTGACCTGACCCTGGTCTCTGGACAGAGGTTTGAACTCCTCGTGTTCTAACAACGAGCAGCAGGTCATGCAGAGGCAGCCAAGCAAAGGCAGAGTCTCTGAGCTAGTCCACATCACCAGGG